GTTATGAGTTTAGGTATCATGGAGCGCCAGAAAGTGCTATAAAGCGAGTTACATGTAAATTTTTAGGAAATTCTGCCTTAATCCAAAGTCATCATAAACATTAGTCACTGTCTGGACAACAAACTGTTGACACTGTTTTTACCGATTCAAACCTGCAATCTAAATAATACCATTTTCAGATTAACCTCAGAATCTTGTTCTCGTGCTACAGTATTCTTCGGATATCCATTTTGGACAAGAATTATTGAAATAATAAAAATATTGGGTGGATTTTCGGGTAAGTTATAATCATCTTAATAACGCACCGAGATCGGTTTGATGAAATCAGGCAGCCTGTTTTTCAAACATCTATGCAGTTATATGACCGTCAACAAAGTTTTGAGGTTAATCTGAAAATTGCATCATTTAGCTTGCACGTTTGAATCGGTAATAACAGTGCCGTGAGTTGTTCGGACAGTGACGAATAATTAAAATGAATTCGGACAGAATGTCCTAACTGCACTTTTAAATTGAGGTTGTGCTATTCGCAAAGACATTACAAGGTAAAGAGAGGTGCTGATGCTTGTCCACATAACGAGTTTGCGATTATTTTGCGTTGATTTTAAGCACAGGGTTTGGGTAAATATTAGAGCAATTATCGTTAAATTCCACGGCAGACTTACTTTGTCGGCGATGCTCAATAAAAGATTAATTATCATTGCAATAAGGTATTGCTTCTTGCTTAGCCCTCGCTTGGAAAGATGTTTAGTTCTCACGTAATTACATTCAACGGGAAAAATTGGATCTACTCACAAAATATTTACCAAGAAAAAAACTTTCAATTTATTACTAATTTTATGAGCTGCAGAAAGCTGTTACAAAAATTTCAGCAATGAAAGTTCATTTTAAAGTTTACGTGGGTAATGAAGAATCGTAACATTTATGGATCGAGATAATTTACTTCTCGAAAGTGGATTGATTTGGGTCGACTTGGTTTTGATCTCCTTATGAGCCAAAACTCATCCAACACTAAAATATTATCGTCGTATTTACGAGTTTTAGTCACAAATGATTTAAGAAATGCAATAAAACCACATTTATTTCATAACGCCGAATTGCAGCGCAAAATTTATCGGGTGACTTCAAGGAAACGAGTAACAGTTGCAAGAAGTCATTTCTAAGCGCCAATGTAACTCTCGATAGCAATATCTGTCTCATCTGTATTATTATTCACGATTTCAAGCTATAAATTGCCTTCCAAAATAATTAGCATATACAAATGTCCGTTCGTAGAGGTCGATGAACCAGTTATGAATTTCGTAAGCGGAAAGATGTTATGACATACTGTAAGTCATAAGTAGTGTAGGAGCGGGACTGGTTACATCTTATGTCACTCGAGATATTATACAGTATTCCATTTCGAGCAAACGATAGTCCAGCGTCCGGCCCGTGTGAATATTGCATAAGCGATGCCGCAGCCGATCAAGAGGTATCTATTTGCTAACGACACTCTCATCATCGTCGAGAGAAAAAAGTTAAGACTAGTATAAAGATTGTCGACTAGTGTTTATGATATTCTCATTCATAGAGTTAGAACCGGGGTAAAATGTTGTCAGAAGGTCAACATTTTAAAAAATGCCCCGAAATTAATACAATTGTTCGAAATAAAAGGAGGTCATGTGAAAGAGGGTGCTTGAGTTCTTTCTTGCAATTTTCAAATAACACCTCATCAGAACCACTTAAAGGGCCTTATTTTTTACGCAAAAGCAGAGACCTTCAGGGCAAAGAAGAAATGCATAAAATTATTCATTAGAGAACACAAAAATGAACTGGCGGTCACCACCAAAACAAAACAACAACAAAAGTTGCCGGTGCGATACCCTGAAAATAAAAAATTAAGACTAACAAATAAAGTAATGACAAGTATGATGAAATTCAACGTGAATTTGAGCGCTGAATAAAAAAAAAAGGGTCGACGTAGCCTACTTAGAAGAATTTACGGAAACGCTGACCAAGACTTAGACAGGAACTCTGTTGAAAAAGTAATAGTTTGAAAAGTGACCTGAAATATGGTAAATCCAACCAAAATCTTCAATGAACAAACTCACATGAGAACATGCTTCATTTTAACAATATTTATGCATTTTTTTTGACATTAGTACTTGAGTAAAAAATAAATTGATCATTTCAAAATTGTATGGCAGGGCCGGATAAACCTACTTGCCGCCCATGGGCCGCCTGTATTTTGCCGCCCTCTCCTCATTTGTTTTGAAACATCAATAAAAACCATCAATTATTGAACGTGCCAAGACTCGTTCATTCGTGTTGGACACATTTTTTTCGAAAGGCCTGTCAATACTCCGAGCAAAAGTTCACGGAACTTTGCGCGAAAGTTAAGTTCCTTAAACCTATCTCTGTGTGAACAAGGCCTTCCATTTGTAATAAATGAACGTAAAAATTATGCAAGAACAAACTTAAATGTGGTTTAATAATTTTAACTTCCACCGCCGCGCTGACCGCACTGTGTTTGACGCAATGCGTAAAGTATTCATGAAGTCCAGTAGGCGCCATGCGTTTCACGCTGACCACACTGTTTTTTATGTAATGCGAGAAGTATCCATGCAGTCTTGTAGGCGCTTTGCGTTTCACGTCGGCCGCCGCTGCTGACCGTACTGTTTGCAATGCGTGAAGTATTCATGCAGTCTTGTAGGTGCTAATATGTGTTACATGCCGGCCGCCGCGCTGAGGGCTTCTCCTTTTCATATCAAGTCTTCGTTATTATTGCTCTCTGCATGCCAATTTGCGAGTTTGATTTCTCTCTTAACTCGAATAATTAAAAGTGCTGTCTCTTGTATCACCGAAAGACGACAAAACTATAGAAATTACTATACTCTCAGGAAATGAGAGATTTGCCACCTTTCCTCGTTTGTAATTTTTTTTCTGAATCCGATTTTTTTTTAAACCTACATTTAAAAAATTTGCAAAATTTGCCGCCATGGGCCGCGGCCCATGTGGCTACCCCCTTAATCCGGCCCTGTTGTGTGGCACCATTATCATCTTTTAGAAATCGCAATTTTTGGTTTAATGGACGCGCACATTCTTGCTCGGCGTAAAGTGTTCCATTAACTCCCCTAAAATTTAAAACTTAGAACTACAAACTTAAAACTAAAAAATCGGAAGAAAAATTTGAAAATAAAAGTGAATAGTATCCTCCGTTTTTGCGAGTGATACGAACATCCTTTCGGCAAATAAGACGAGTAAAATTATGAGAACCGAGAATACGCTTCACGCTTAATCACGAATTGAAGCGTACAGCGGGAGCGTTTACTAGCACGCGTTCTTTGTTGGCATGATAATCCGGAAAACCGACTCCAAACCGCATGGTTACTTACTGTTGAATGGAAGTAGGTTCGCGAGAAAGGAGACATCTCAATTATTCTGAATTTAGGAACCGGGTTTAACTCCTATATCAATTCTCGCGCTGCCCGCGTTTAAAATTGCTTCAACTGCCCTTAAAAATGTTTCAAAATTCATTTCGTTGTTATTTGCGTAAATATATTTCATTGAGCATTGCATTTAGGAACCGGGTTTAACTCCTATATTAACTCTCGCGCTGCTCGCGTTTAAAATTGCTTCAACTGCCCTTAAATTTTTTCAAAATTAATTTTGTTGTTATTTGCGTAAATATATTACACTAAACTATCATAACCTGAGATTGCTCTTGAAATTTCACGTAATTTTCCACTTGAAATGTCAAAAATTTCATGAGAAATAGCCTTAAGTTTCAAATGATTAACATTTCACGGGAAAATTTCATTCAAATTCACGTAAAATTTCATCCTTGAAATTTCAAATTTTCATTTTACATGAAATGTTCCATCTCAGGAAAAATGATACTTTATGTTTTCAATTAATTGTTCTTACGTTCAGAGTTTTCATATCGTTTCAATGACTGATTCAATATTTTCAGTAGAATATTTAAAACAAAGAATCGTGAAAATTCTAGACAACCGTCAAACGAATTTTTTCTACATAATTTGACAATCTGTGCCGTAATTGTTCTTTTAATATTCTTGAATAAGGCAAGATTAAAAGAAAGGACTTTCATTGTAAATGCACATTGTTTATAATTTTAAGACCAATTCTGTTTCCAAAACCAACTAAAGGGCCGGAAAAAACATCGATTAAGCATTTCAGGATTTCATTTTAATCGTATAAGGACGACAGAGAAAAATTAAAATCGAAGAATATGAGGATTTGGCCCGGCGTGGAATTGCCCCCGAATATTACCCAACGTGAATCTATATTTATTCACGGTGCAATATTTTCGGCTTGAACGAAATATGACGCAACGAGAACAATAGCTTTAGATCTTCCAAACAGACGCAGTTTGCATGGTATTCTATTGATAAATAGTGACGGTCACTCATAATTTCATATTTGCTTGTCGTAAAGAAGTACGAGAAACAATTATATGCGAGTCTCGTTTTGATTGAATTTCTTGACGTCGTTCTTTGAATTTTTTATTTGGGTCATTCCAATTGAATATCGGTTTTACGAAATAACAGGAAATGACAAATGTCATATTCAAGTGATTGTTGATTTATTTTCGTAATATTGTACACGCTTTGGACCGTTTTCAAATTTGGATAAAACAAATTGGAGGGAAACATATCATTTTAGGCACATTTGGACTACATTCTGTAATTAGGAGCTATTCAATTTCTGGAGTATCCGTAGAAACACTTATGTGCAAAGGGTCACTGATGGCACATTCGTTGTTTCTAAACTGAGCCAGAAATTGTACTTCCGCTTTGCAAAATGTAGTCCATTTGATCTTAAATTCAAGAACTCAAAAAAACTTGCGTTTCGCATCTCGTTTCAAAACTACCACAAATTTAATTCTAAAAATCTCATTAGATGACCAACGATTTGATTTTCATGAACTACTGTTGCAAAAAGCAGAAAATGAGCAATATTTTCTAACCGAATGCATTTTGACTGTTGCAGGGTTGTAATTAAGAACAGTTCGTGCAACGGTCCCCTCTGCGGGACACGAGGGACCCAACCGTCATCTGAGACTCACCCATATTTGGAATTTGGATAATTTGGTTGTTTTCATGTCTGGTGCAAAACCAAGTGAAGGCAACTGGTTACTCAATTTGGCCTCGGTTACCACTTCAACGCGCGGTGAGTCATTTGTGCCTTTCTAATCTACGTTTTAACTTCAACGACTGTCGTACGCGAATCTAGAACAGGTAAATGTCAACCCACGCTCAACGACTCGTAATTTATAACAGTCTGATCTTAATTTTGAGTCGTTAAGACAATAAATGTTGAGATTCTAGAATTAACTATAATACCTAAAATTTTCGACTCGTCTCCCGGAATGGGTTAAAAGATGAATGCATATAAACGTACCGCATAATGTTATGAAACCAACGATTTCAGGAGCTCGTAAATTCTTGTTTTAAATCTCGGTCAAAAAAGGAGATCTCAAAACACCAAAATTACAGACCGAGAGTGTCATTTAGTGGTTAAAGCTCAGTCTATAGGATTCAAATCCTCCGACGTAAGTCCAACTTAATATGATGGAAATTAGCAAAGTCAACCCCAGACGGAATTGAAACGGGACAGTCCTCAGATCCTCCTTCATGAAATGCTTTTTGATTTATTTAGAAAATTATTGTATGTTGGTTAAAAAATCAGCACTGCCTTAAAAGCTCCATTCAGTAGGAGCATATGGTTCAATTTTCCAGACAAGTTCTTGCACTTAAGAGTGCCTAGTGCACTCAGGTGAGCCATGTTGATGACTAAAGTGCGAGACCACGTATCTCCATTTGCGACATTTTATATTTCCTGTCATACATTATTTTCCCTTAGAAAACTAATCAACGTAATTTCTTGAAAACCTCCTTGATTTTCTTTTCCGTTAGCACACTATTCCGTAAGAATTTTAAGCTATAAAGTTGACTTCTTTCTCTTCGAAAAAATAAACTGGGGCGGAGATTTTGAAACACCGCAATGGAGATACGTGGTTTCGCTTTTTAGCATCGATGTGAAAGTAGTGACGATGAATTGCGATTTTGCATTAAGAGCAGTGGCAGAGCCAGGAAAATTTCAGTGGAACTATTTAGTTGAAGACACAAAAATTCATTAGAGCATCTCAAGACCGAAAAATACACAACGTGTGGGAGGTAATTACTCCGCCCGCTTGATCAGTAACGCGCACGTTTTGAGAAAGCAAAGATTCGTACCTTGAACCACATTTCACGGATTGACGACCTAGTATATAGCAAAAGCGAGTAATTTACCGGTAAAAGCTCTCAGTAATCGGTGAACTAATTCGTCTACGATCTTATGACTTGTATTTTTAATTGGTGTTTTTTAAAAATCAAAAGTTTTTGGTTTTTCGGTATGAGCATAGCTCGGTTCACTTCACAAGTTTTTGCAGTTGAGATATTCAGTCGATAAATCTCTATTTTTCTCCTCCCGCCATCCAAAGTCACAGCCATCTTTCTTGGTCCTGGGGGGTCTTCATAGAGCCTATGAATGGCCGAAACACGGGGCCACGCAGCTCGTTTGCGACTTCGACCAGTCAACGAGATTTCTTTACCACTACCTACCTTGATTTTCCTTCTTTGTCGGCAGAATATTTGGTATGAATCTCCAGCTATAAAGTTCGCGTGTTTCTCTTGGAACAAGTAAAAAAGGGGCGTGAATTTTGAAACGCCGCAATGGAGATACGTGGTCCCGTACTTAAGCCATCGCTTTTGTCTATCCTTTCTCTAAAAAGTTACCACATCCATGACGAAGGCACTCAAACCACCAATGTTCGCAGAGAGCTTTTGATGGTTAACAACGCAAATTAAACAGTCAAAACGAGATCACATACAAGACGAAAGACCTTCACGTTCGCCGAGAGCTTTCAGCGGTCACTTGAACCTGTTAGGCCGTCAATCCGTGAAATATGGCTCAAGGTACAACTCTTTCCTTTCTTCGGACGCATTCTTCGGTGATTAAGCAAGCGGAATAATTAAAGCTCTCCGTTCTCATCAAACGAAACTGTCCCTTCACTCGGATCCGAGAGTGATGTTCCATGTCGGAACTTTCTTCCGTATGGGAGGGCGTTCTATCATCCTCGGCGGAAACAACAGATCTGCATATGGGGTAATCCATGGATCTAAGAGGTTATTACTCAGGAGTACTCTCGTCCATACACGGTGGGAAAATCACTAGAAGAAACGGTGGCTATCATGCCGTGCTAAGGAAGAACGCCGTATGAACATTCAAGAGTTGCCAGATTTCCCGAGATAAAACATGTTTCTTGACGACATTCATGCACATTTTCCCTTGAAATGGACCACTAGACAAGGTACGAATTTCAGCATTCTGTTACATGTTTCTTAACTAAAATTTTACGTAGAATACGACGTGTACAACGAAAATTACCGAAATCAACTCCTTCTAAAGATATTTAATGATTCTTGATGCGTGAATTCAAACCACCCGCTCATGAAAACTCAATACTCTGCGTGATTCACATCGTGCGCTAACCGTTATCATGACAGTCTCTGCGATATAAAAATCTGGCAACCTCAATCTTGACGCTTTGGCTCAGCTGTAGCAAATTGTTTAAAGTGTGAACAACATATGGTGGGAAATGAACATTGGATTGAGAAGATTGCTGAAACCATTGTAGTGCGCGATTTGACTCGCGTTGAGCTCTGAGTTTCTTGTCAGCGGGCAGTTCAACTTCCTCGTAACCAATGTGAAATAAAAACGTTAATATTTTCGTTTGGAGTTTGTTTCATTAGTTTTCGTTGCGCAAATCGTGCTCTACGTGAAATTCTGGTTAAGAAACATGTATCAGAATGCTTAAATTCGTACCTTGTCTAGTGGTCCATTTTCAGCTATTTTAGATTAAATTGCGTCCAAAATTGTCCGAAAATTTTGAGAAGAAATATTCACAATTTTCCCAGAAAATTCGGTTTTTATCGAAGAAAACTTGGCAACTGATGGAGGTTCATACGGCGTTTTTCCTTAGCACGGCAGTATGACGTTGGACGTTAAACTGTAGGATTAATCCGAAGGTTTGATCATCCATTGTCCCGCGGTTATGACATGCGAGAGAGCCGTTGTTGCGTATACGAGTCTTTGACATTAAGCTACATGATGAAACCCTCGGTTTATCGAGCAGTCCAGCAGTAATTTAGATCGGCGAGACTGCGTAGAGAACATGCTGGATGCGAAAAGTGAAGATTAGATAATTACTGAGGACAATATATCGTAAAAAGTGAAAACTCACATGTAGACTGCATTTTGCACAAAAAGATATGCTGGAATTGCAATATGTTATGGTGGGATTACGCTACTGTCATTTTCATAATATAATTTGCAAGGTTAATTAAATGAAAAGAGATGAGAATAGAATTCGCAAGGCGATTTTCGAATACACTTAACACTTCTTTTAGTGTACAAGGAGAAGCTGCTTCATCGAAGCAGCGCAACACTGGTACTTGCTTTTGACTTCCTATACTCTTTTTTATTTGCAAAATGCAGTCAATGTTTTGTGATCGTACGAGGCAAAAGTTTTTTCGGGGCTGAGAACGAAAATTTGAGATAATGGTATCGCACTGTTTTGAAGGATGTTTCAAGAAAATTTGGTGGAAAAAAAGACAAAAAAAAATAGAATCTCATCAGAGTTCTGACGATTTGAAATTCACGATTCGGAAAAATGAAGTTTGGAGTAAAAAATTTTTTTCTGTTGGTAAGATAATAAAGCATGATTGGAGATTTGTAACTCTACGTCGGGAATATGCGTTGGTTTACTGTGATAATTGGCATGTTAATGTTCATGAATTATATTCAATGTCTTCAGCTTCAGGAAATATGGTTTTTTTCTAGGAGCTGGCAACTTATTCTTCGCCTCGCAAAGCGATTAAACACCACTATGTCACTGTCAAGCTAAGCATAAAGCTGCTCTGAGGATGAGAGTAGAATCTAAAAGTCCATAAATCATTTTAAGTTGAAGCTGCTCAGTTCATCATCACTAAACGACACCGATTACAACTTTTTCTCGCGTCGCTGAAAGAGTGAGCGAGTACTGCTGTTCCTGGCGAAATAAATTGACCGGTGACTGATATGGCAGAACAACATAATGCATCAATTCGATGAGACTTGAATAAGGGTCATGTGTAAAACATTAAGATATCTATGGATTACGTACCACATCTAGTTTTGAGTAAAAATTACCTCAAGTTTGTAGCAGAATTTTTAACCGAGTACAATTTTAGCCGATACAAAGGTATTGTTTTGAAGTTTTCGTCTTTCTAGACTTGCGTTAAAGTCTCTTTCGTAAGTCATTGTATCATTCAATAGCATTAAAAATAAAATACCGTAGCACAAGTCTTCTCATCAAGTTTCCACGTACGATAAACACATTACATAGTTTCAAACCCAGAATAGAATTTAGTGTAAAAAGTTAAGAAAAACTACGAGTGAAATCAACTCGATGTAATATCTGTCACGATGTGGGGTGAATTGAACTGCAGTCTACGGTAATAAGCAAAGTGTGCTTCATGCCTTAGAACATTATACTCAACACCATGATAGGTGATGATGCCGAAAAGTTTTGAACAATCGTCCTTTAAATTTTTAGGAACTTCAGGTGAACTTGCGAACAATATTATCTAAAACAATTGAAGAAAGATATTCATAAATTTATCAAAAAATTCGTGTTTTATCAAAGGAAATTTGGCAACGCCTGAAGGTTAGTACGGCGTTTTTCCTCGGTTTGATGCGGTTTGGTTCCTTTCCACTTAATGCGATCAAAATCTTAGTACAGACAAGGTGATTCTGGTTGCCGGCTTGGAAGTTCGGTTCCCACGATTGACCCAAACCAAAAACTTGTTAAAAAGTTGTACACGAACGATCGCGTTGGTGACGAATCTCCGAATTGTGCGACCAACAATTGCGCGCGCTGGCTCAGCGGGCTTTCTCGTGTCAACACAGCGCTCGGCTGGCGGAAGCGGGCTCAGCTGTGAATTTCTCAAACGCAAACGCATGCTGACTGGGGCGGCCGCGGCCCGGGATTTCAGGTTGGAACGGAACGCGCGCGCGAGCACGTAGGAGCGGAAGTCGCGACCCGCGTGGGACATGACGACACGAACGAGACGTCGACGTCGACGTCGCAACAGCTTCCGAGTGAGATCGAGCCGGGGTCCGGGGAACTCGCGAATTAGCGGCACGGAAGCCGAGCTTCCCAGTGCCGATGCGAATAAAGACGACCTGGATTAAGAGGACTTGTTTGTTTGGAGCTGGTCTTGTCGAGGGAGTCCGTGTGCGGATATGAAGTTAGGAGCATGTGGGACACCGAAGTATCCGGTCTGATCATGGAAGTGGAAAATGACGTCATAGTTGACGTTATGATCAAAGAGCGGGTCTAATAAGGTCATGTTATCGGGATGACGGAAGGAAGAAAGGTGGCCAAAAAAGACTTGGGATGGCACTTTTCTCGGAGGAAAGTCGAGCTTGGTAGTGCAAATGCGATTAAAGACGACCCGGATCACGGGGACTTGTTTGTTTGGAGCTGGTCTTGTCGAGGGAGTCCGTGTGGCTGTGGGGATACGAACTTCAGAACATGTGGGACGCCGAAGTATCCGGTCTGATCATGGAAGTGGAAAATGACGTAATTGTTGACGTTATGATCAAAGAGCTGGTCTAATATGGTCATGCTCACAGGATGACTGAAGGAAGAAATGTGGCCAAAAAAGACTTATGATGGCACTTTTCTCGAGGAAAAGTCGAGCTTGGTAGTGCAAATGCAAATAAAGACGACCCGGGTTAAGAGGACTTGTTGGTTTGGAGTTGATCTTGTCGAGGGAGTCCGTGTGGGGATACGAACTTCGGAACATGTGGGACACCGAAGTATCCGGTCTGATCATGGAAGTAGAAAATGACGTCATCAAATGACGTCGACTTCATGATCAAATGGGTGGTCTAGTATGGTCATGCTCGCGGGATGACGGAAGAAAGGTGGCCAAGAAAGACTTATGATGGCATTTTTCTTGAGGGAAAGTCGAGCTAGGCAGTGCAAATGCGAATAAAGACGACCCGGATTACGGGGGCTTGTTTGTTTGGAGCTGGTCTTGTCGAGGGAATCCGTGTGGGGATACAAAGTTAGGAACATGTGGGACACCGAAGTATCCGGTCTGATCATGGAAGTAGAAAATGACGTCATAGTCGACATTATGATCAAAGGAGTGGTCTAAAAAGGTCATGTTATCAGAATGACGGAGGAAAGGTGGCTAAAAAGGAGTCTTGATGAAAGTTTTCTTGAAAGAAAACGCACTGGAAAAAAACTCCGGTCGTGAAGGCCGTACTGACAGACTATGGTATAAACACACCGTTCAGGTGAGGCCAAATAAGTTCCGGGCGTAGCACCTGGAGCTTTCGGCCTCTGAGCCCGGAACGGACGGTATGTCTATACAGCACATAACGTTTTTTTCAGTGCGAAGAGGACACACGATGATGAAGAGACGACAGAGGAATTTTATTTACAGAAAATGGAATGGTGATAATTCCCTAAATGGATTTGAGTAAAAAAGGGGAAGACTACGGCAGTTAGGCGTTGTAGTCCCCTTTCCTCCCAACCAAGCCGCACAATGAAAGCCGCTCTCAAGTAGGTCAGATTGACAGACTTATTTACACTTTTCCTACAAGTACGATCGTACGTTACGTGTTGAAAGTTTTTTGGAGGGGGATATGCAGTTTTCATTTATTTCTCAAATCTTTGACTTTCGCAAGATCTTGAACCAAAAATTCATCAATTTCTTCCTGACCTTCCTCGGATGTTTGAAATAGAAATGCCCCTTAAAAACTGCATCAAATATGAAAATCGAGCCTTGCTGAAAAAAAAAAAAAAAAACACATGGGTGCGATTGGAGCGGTTTAAAAGCTTTAATAAGACAAGGAAATAAAGGGCTAGGCAAGAGAATTTCCAGACTTTTCCAGGATTTTCTTTAGTCTCCGAGCGAGTCACTTTCCTCTTATTCACATGAAAAGCATGTATGAAAGGACGAAGAAAGTTAAAGACTAAGCTTGCCGATAAAGTGTAAGACCCAGAAACTATAGTCTTTTCAAAACGCACAATGTTAGAATGTCATGCCGGTTGCATGAGAATGATCAAAGCCATTACGCCGGCCGGCAGCTGTCAAGGAGTCATTACGTCCTGATAATTAGGCGAACTTGACCATAAAATCAAATGACTCGCCTCGTTAGACATGCCTGCAGACTGGGACCGAGGATGTAGGGCTCTTAGGAGGGGCTCCAGACACAAATGAAGACCTGGAGGTTTTGACGGAAGGACAAGCAGTTAAATTTATGATTTTTTAAACGACTTACGCAATGGACGGAGAAAGTGAATCGGTTAATGAAAGTGATCAAGGCTCAGTGCCACGCGGCGTGGCACTTCCTTCGCGGGGGTATGTACAGGGTGTCGTAAAAAAGCCGAGCGCTTTGATGGGAATGGTGTCCCATTTGCCCTGACAAAGTAACGACCGACAGTAAACGTTGCTCGCCGGGAGCCGTGAAGAAACACGAGTCATCGATGAGAACGAAATTTGAATTATTTAGCTTGAGGAGTAACGGAGGAGAGGTTGTAAATGTTTGCTCATTCGACGCGATGGTGAGAGGGCAGGAAAAAATTTAGTCACACGTTTTAATCTGCGTTAAAAGTATCTTGTCTACAGGAGTGGAAAATGACTGCAAGTTGAAAGTGATATATGTTGAGACGAAAGTTAAGCATTATAGAGAGATTTCTGATTTCATTTCGCGTGTCCTTTGGATGATGAGTCCCTCTCTCTACGGTAAATCAGAAAACTAGCGTGCTAAACTGATGGGACTTTTTTGAAACACCGGAATCAAAATACGCGTTTTCTACAGTTTCACTGTCAATAAACAAGTTTTTAGATACTTTTTTAAACTTTGAGTGCAAAATTCCGATGATAGGGTTGTATTCATAATCGCTCCTTGAATAGCTCCCTCCTCAGAAGGTCCCTCATAGTTAGAATTGTGATTAAGGAGGGTCTAAGAGGATCATAAGCGAATTTATCATAAAAGTACAATGTTTGCAAATCTTGAATAAAGTTCAATTTTAGAACTCGGGAAATGGATCCTTACAAGGAATTACGATGATTTGACGCTACAAATAATAATAAAATACCGGAAGAGGAATATTCGATGATTTTGACAAATTTTAAGGAAGGTGCGAACCTACCTTTAGAGTTACAAAACTTACGATGTATTTTCTTATGTATTTTGTACTCTTTGAAGCGATATCCATTTCCAAATTTTCACAACTAAATTGTATTTAAAATTTGCAAAAATTGTCCTTTCTATGATACCATACTGAGGATCTCCTTGGACCCTCCCCAATCACAGTTTAACCAAAGGCTTCCGAAAAAATATGAGTTGTCTGAGGATCGACTATAAACAAAGCACTCTCTCGTGCCAGCCGGACCGATCATAAAAATACATGACTTCTCCGAGGCGTTTTGGATACTCTGGTCTCGTTGAATTAGTGAGAATGAAAGCACACCAACTCGAAAAAATGAAAATAATGAAGACAGACACGAAACTGCACAGTAGGTGAAGAAGTTAGTCCAAGAAAAAAACTTTTGGTGCCGAAAGACAAGTGTTAAGGACACGTTAAAGGTCCAAGTTGGAACAAATGCACTAACCTCATACCATTTATAAAAATTGACTGACTTCAATGGAAATTGCGAGTATTTTTGAGTTATCGAGTTTGTGTGTTTTCGTTCTCACTGATTCATTCGTGTCAAATCCAAAAGCATCATTGCAAAATTCGAAGCTTTTTAGATCATTGACGAAAGCAGTACCCTATATTGACCCGGCGTGGGTACATTATTCCGGTCATATTCCTCGCGTTTTGGCCGAGTGGTTACGTGGCGGGGCGTCGCATTCTTGCACCTGAAGCGAGCACCGATTCTTGGACTAAGGTCAACATTGCGTCACCGGCCGGATCATCGCCAGATCCGATCGCAACCGCTTCGGCGCTTCCGTGTCGCCCTAGATAGATCCTACTTGCTCTTTGCGAAATTATTATCTACTCTGACGCAATTAATGATACTTACGCATTACGATTAGTTACATGCGGTCTTATCAGCGCTTAGAGTCTATTTTGATGTCGATCGATTTGGACTAGTCACAATCCATGGGGGTGTGTTGACACCGTATGGAGAAAGATCAAGGTTGCGCTCATCCGTGCTTGCGGTGCATTTTTGTAATAATTTTAGGATCTATTATCTATTAGGAATTTCAATTCGATACATAGTCAGAAAACTTGCTTGATATTGCTGATATGTGATCTAACATTTCGATCTTTTGGTTTCCATGATAGACCACGTAGCTCCGTTTGCGACGTTACAGACTTTTTGTCATACTTTATTTTTCCATGTAAAACTATTCAATGTAATTTCTTGAAAACTTCCTTGGTTTTCGTGTTCTGTCGGCAGAATACGTTTATAATTAATTTCAAACTATAAAGTTGGCTAGTTTCCTTCTAAAAAATAAAATAGGAATGAAAATGTTACAACCCCTCGATTGCGATACGTAATGGGCGGATTCAGATACTTCTCACTTCAGAACGAGAGGGCCAAAAGGGGGTCAAAGGGTGGAGGCTCCCCCCGAGAAAATTTTTAGAAATTTTAGAGCATCTAAAATGCGAAATTTGAGGCAGTTGCGTCGAGAATAATTACCACATATAAGCGTCCTTCCCTCTTTCCTCCGTTCCTTCCTCTTCCACTTCACCCTTCACCCCTCTTCCTTCTCCCGTTCCTTCCTCCTATCTTTCTACTCCTTTTCTTCCTCGCGCCGTGCCTTCCTTCTATCTTCCCTCCCTTTTCCTTCCTTCATTCCTTCCTTCTGTCTTTCTTCCCTTTTCCTTCCTTCATTCCTTCCTTCTGTCTTTCTTCCCTTTTCCTTCCTCTTTTTTCGGGCAAACGGGAGGGGGGGGGCGCACGCCCTCCACATTGCCTCCACATCGCGGAGGATCCACCATGAGATACGTGGTTTCGCACTTTAGCCATTGATATCGTCTTTTGAGGCGACTGAAACATGTTCTAATCATTATTGTTTTTTTGGTGTGTTGCAGGGTGATCTACAGGGGCGGCTGGAGAGGGTAACCGGAGCAATGCGGCCGGCTCTGAGGCGGCGACTGTGGGGCGGATAAGATGCCTCCGTGGCAGTATCTGGTGGGGAGCAATGCCATGTATGGCTCAGGATGGATGACGCTAGGCCTCTTCCCGCTCTTCCTCATCGGGCTCACTTTCATGCGATACACCTCCGTCGACCCGGAGTCCAGGCCCCAAGATGTCAAGCAGGTACCACTACCGCTCCGACATGACGCAATCCTCATAACACCGCACAGTATTGCCGCATCGTTGACAATATAGATGTTTTTCACAAAATTCGTCGTTCTACAGACAGAGAAACGTAACTCCATTCCAAAGTTGAAAAATTGACTTAAATGGAGATGTTGCATGTGTGAGGGATTTGCGATTTGACCATTGATTCTTATGTAAAAGTTTGCGAAAAACACGATGGCGCCACTGGTTGTCTCTGAAATCATCTCCCAAGCTCAAAAAAGCTCTCAAAGTGAGGCCAAAATGGAGGGCATATCCCACCCTACCCTGAGAGTCCACCTCTACATCAAAACAAACTCTCCATGCAAAGATAGGGAGCAAATACATTAGCAGGGTTGCCGTGTTTTCAATTTTGGAGTCCCCAATGAAATTGGCAACCCTGCCAATGTATTTGCTCCCTATCTTTGCATGGAGAGTTTGTTTTGATGTTGAGGTGGACTCTCAGGGTAGGGTGGGATATGCCCTCCATTTTGGCCTCACTTTGAGAGCTTTTTTTGAGCTTGGGAGTTGATTTCAGAGAAAAACAGTGGCACTATCGTGTTTTTCGCAAACTTTTACATAAGAATCAATGGTCAAATCGCAAATCCCTCACACATGCAACAACTCCATTCGTCGTTCTACAGACAGAGAAACGTAACTCCATTCCAAAGTAGCAAAATTGACTTATATTATTATTAGTTTTTTTACAAGAATATAAACAACAAAAATCCATCCACAATTCGACTGATTTCTGCCACTGACTTGAGAAAAAAACAGCGAAATTTTCTTATAAAAATTTTCAAAAGTTTCCTAGTGGAAACGTAAATTGAATCGCGTTAAACAGAGAGGAACCAATCTACATCAGCTATTGCCAAATTCGATTGGGCAATTACAATTTTATATGAAAACGGTTGTGCGGATTCTCGTGCAAATTTCAGTGAATTTTCTCCGTAGTACGAGGCAAATTCCCTACCATTTTCAAAGGAATCCGCACAAACGTTCTCTCGTAAAAAAACAAATTGCCCTCTAAAATTTGGCAATAACTGATGTGACTTGGTGCCTTTCTGTTAAACGCGGTCCAATTTTGAGCGAAAAGTTTGCAGTGTTGATACGCAGTCTCGTTTTTTGTCTGGAAAATGACGAATTGCACTAAAAAAAAAAGTGATCACCATCTCAACTATACTTCTAGCTGATTTTGGTGCCAGTCATAAGAGTAGTTACACAAGCCGAAGGTAAAGTTGATCCAACCACACTTTCGGCTGACTCAATCATACCTCTGGCTGGTGTTAGTAATCTAGCAACTGCCGTCAAAATCAGCTAGGGGTATAGTTGGGACTGTGATAACTTTTTGTCATTGCTGACACTTAGACAGGATAAGATGTAGCGCTACAGCATACGTGACAGGATCTGTGTAAAGGGACCTTATTTTCCAGAAGCAAGGTATCCAGGGGAGCTGAGTTATTCACTTATCGACGGGGAAAGCTCTGCTGAAGCTAATGCGCTACTCAACGTCTGTTTCAGACTGTATGTACAGCGGAATTGACTCATTACAGAAATAAATGATAGCTCAGCCGGGTAGCGAGAAGAGGAGAAAAGCGTTTACTTTTCTACCCTAGCGTTTAAGTCTCTGGGAACTTGAATAGTCGTTCAATATTGATTCAACTTGTTTCACTGCAGCTTTTCATTACACGTCCGATACACTGGGATAAAAGTCGCTTGGATCAAGAGTCGAGACTCTTAAAATCATTGACTAGAAAAAATACTCTTAATTCAATCGGATTTTTACTTGAATCGAAGAGCCAAGCTTCTTGATTTAATCGGATTTCCTTTTGATTCAAGCAAAAATCCGATTGAATTAAGAGTATTTTTTCTAGTCAATAATTTTAAGAGTCTGGACTCTTGATCCAAGCTACTTTTATCCCAGTGTATCAGACGGGTAATGAAAAGCTGCAGTGAAACAAGTTGGATCAATATTGAACGACTATTTAAGTTCCCAGAGACTTAAACGCAAGGGTAGAAAAGTAAACGCTTTTCTCCTCTTCTCGCTACCCGGCTGAGCTATCATTTATTTCTGTAATGAGTCAATTGCGCTGTATACAGTCTGAAACAGACGTACTGTCACTGTTATTAATAGTCTGGACTGTAGATCCAAGCTCCTTTTTTCCCAGTAAAACTCCGATCTTAGATCTCTGTGACTAGTGTTCCCCGATACCATTTTCCCTCGACTCTTAAATGCTAAAAACTTCTTTCTCTTGGTGTGCAGGTCCTACCGGAGAATAAATGATAGCTCTGCCGGGTAGCGGAAAGAGGAAAAAAAAGCGTTTACTTTTCTACCCTTGCGTTTAAGTCTCTGGGAACTTGAAGAGCCGTTCAATATTGGTTCGACTTGTTTCACTATTCTTTAAAGTCTGGAATCTCCGATCTTAGATCTCTGTGACTGGCGTTCCCCGATATCAATTTTTCCTCGATTCCAAAATGCTAAAAACTTCTTTCTGTTGGTGTGCAGGTCCTACCGGAGTACGATTTCATCGTCATCGGCGGCGGCTCTGCAGGGGCGGTGGTGGCGAACCGTCTGTCCGAGAACCCGGACTGGATGGTGCTCCTGATCGAGGCCGGCGGGGACGAAACGGAGATCTCGGACGTGCCCTCCCTCGCCGGCTACCTCCAGCAGACCGAGCTCGACTGGCAGTACAAGACGGCACCGCCCCCCGAGGAGACGGCCTACTGCCTAGCCATGATCGGCAACCGTTGCAACTGGCCGCGGGGGAAGGTTTTAGGCGGTTCCAGCGTTCTCAATGCCATGATCTACGCCCGCGGCAACGCGAGGGACTACGACCAATGGGCCGCTTTGGGCAATGAAGGCTGGGCCTACGCGGATATACTCAAGTATTTCAAGAAGTCCGAGGATAATAGGAATCCGTACCTCGGAGGCACCGAGTACCACGCCACTGGCGGGTATCTTACTGTGCAGGAGGCGCCTTGGAGGTAAGCATTAGTTTATTTTTGCAACTTGGACCCTGAGGACAAGGCACAGACAAGCCATACTTGGACCACGTTAAGCAGAAAGGAACCAAGCCAAATCACCTACTGCCAAATTTGACTGGGCAATTTAAGTTTTCACAAGAGAACGTTTGTGCGGATTCCTTCGAAAATGTAAAGGCGCTTTAAGCAATGCAGCAAATTCACTTAACCCTTTATTGCACAGCGTTCATGGAAGCAACAAATGGGTTTCAGCTTTAGTTCTATGCTGGAGTATTAAATTGAATCAAAGCAAGAAGTGATTTTTGGGGAACATTATAAGTCTGATCGCCTTACTTAAAAAAAACCATAAAAATCAATTCTAAGCGACTCCATTGTCGAAAAAATACTGTACAATGTAGATTTCCTCTCCAAAATCAACGATTAGCTCATTCAACAAAGGGTTAAATTTGCTCAAAAATCCGCACTCCCGTTTTCATGAGCGCAGAGTTATTTTAAGAGGTGCAAATGAATCTTTTTGTGACTATCGTTTTATTTTTTATCAACATAGTGCAACTTTGTACACAACTTAAACAATTACAAATCTAGGGACAGAATAATTTCAATGTCTACGAATGACTCGTGCTGTTCAGATAACACAGTAAAGAAAAAAAAGTATTTAACAAAACAGTGTCAGATTTTAACGACAGATTAGCTTTTATTTTACAAGAAGAGAACTAGATTTGCTGAAATGTTCCTTCCCAGAAAATCCTACAATATAGTATTAACACTTCATCTATAATATGTAAAACGAAAAAACTTACAAGTAATTTGCAAAACAAGCTGCAAATGATAGTTGTACCGCAAGAGCACCTACAAAGTACCTGTCGCAGGCAGTTAGCAATCGCCAACAATTCACGATCGCTGTATGAAGCGCCTTCATTCTTGCAGAAAACTCCACGCTTTGTCGGGGAGCTACTTTAGTTGCCTATCTGAACTTAACCTAACTGAGACCACTAATTTCACTACAGGGACACCTCGGAGGACCAGTTATACCATGTTTTAGGGAGGAAAAAGCGTGAGTTCAAATTAAAGGCAGTACTCTAAACTTGTTCTTGAACACAAATACATTTATCTGTGAATGCCGCTTAGTTCCGTTTAGCAGAAATACGTCGGATTCACGAGTATTTAAGTTTTTTTGATAGTAATTGCTACTAACATAACACCTTAAAATACATTTCGGTGATATTTTTCAGGTCTCCTCTGGCGGCGGCGTTCGTGAAGGCGGGCGAGGAGCTGGGCTACAAGAACCGGGACATCAACGGGGCCCAACAGACCGGGTTCATGATCGCCCAAGGGACGATCCGACGGGGCTCCCGCTGCTCCACCTCCAAGGCCTTCCTCCGGCCGGTCCGCCTCCGCAAGAACCTCCACGTCTCCATGCACTCGCAGGTCACCCAGATCTTCTTCGAGCGCAAGAACATCCTCGTCAACCCGCGCGCCGCCCGCGTCCAGTTCATCAAGAACAACATACGCCACTCCGTCCGCGCCCGCAAGGAAATCGTTCTCTCCGCCGGCGCGATCGGCTCGCCGCAAATCCTCATGGTCTCAGGTAAGCTCCATCACTTCATAGTTCAGTATGGTATACTTCAAGCATTTGGGATTAAAAGGGCATAATGTCGCTTATATTTCAACTGCCAAAGAAAGGGAGAAAATTGATTTTTCTTCTCTTTCTTTCCTAATTAGAAGACTTACTTTTATACTTATACAGATTACAAAAAAAATACATGATACACGAAGTAAAAAAAAGCATGCGTGGGACCCGAAGTTGAAGTCATATGAATCTCTGAAGTTTTCGGATCACGTATCTAAAAACTTGAGGTCCAGCCGCCGAAGTTCGGGTCAGACATCTGAAGTGATCTGAAGTACTTCGATATATACCGAAGTGTTCGGATCACACATCTGAGGTACTCTGGTACATACCGAAGTGCCACGATGTCTAACCCAAAATTCTCGACCTCAAGTTTTCGGATGCGTGATCAGAAAACTTCAGAGATCCATATAACCTCAAATTCGGGTCCCATTGACGAAGTTTTTTTCTCCGTGTACATGTTAGAGATGGTTTTTGACTAATTTCCTTTTGAGGCCCACCGGCATCCCCCTTCACCGTGAAATTTACTTAAATTACAGAGATGGTTGAAATTATGCATTTTTTTTTTTTTTTTTTAAATGAGAAACAGAGAATAGATGTCATCAGAGACATCGACTATTTGTCACGCGGGAGGAAAAATAAAACAAAATCCAGCCTTTCACAGGGGGAGGGGGGGGGGTTGTTGATGTTTCGTTTTCTTATTCGGAGAGAATTTCAAACCCCATTAAAAAACAGATTTCAGGAATGTACATCTTACGTTAATGTTATCCTCCGAGATTTTCTCTGGGATACTACATCACAGTAAAAAATTTCAGCGATAAACACAAACGAGCTTAAAACATGTCCAACGATCAGGCAAATGAAAGCCAATTGTAAATCAACCATCGTAAAGGCTCTCGCAGGATCACCCTTTTCATCGTCGAATTGTTTCAACCGCGCTAGATATCGCGGACCTATTTCCACCTCGTAGGATTCAGTCAAAATTCCAGCTTCAAGGAGGTGAGCTGAAATCGCCTTGATTCTCTTACCGTAGGGTGAATTCGACAGCAGTCGCATGTCGAACGGGTAACTCATGATCGATTCCGTTGCGATGTGGTAGTCATGCGTCACGTACGAAGACGAGGGGTCTGGCACAGTGAGAAGATCATTCTTCCTTGCGAGGTAGGGTAGAAACGTGATGAAGGCATTACTCCGGAATATCTCCCGAATAGCCATGAAAACTCGTTTCACAGTTTCTTCTGAGAAGTTGAATGAATTACCACCCCAGTATACCTCGTCTGCATCTTCAGCGTATACCACAAAACCTTTCCAGCCCAGATTTAAATTTAATTCAGACTTTAGGAAAAGGTAGGAAGCAACCATATGTTCCATCAGCCATTCGTATTTCGGGTCGCTCGTTAATAGTCCAATGCCCTCAAAGATACTCAATTGGAACACCAGATCAGATTCTTTTAATTCCTCAGCTGTGTTTAAAGGAGTGTAACGCACTTTCTCACTGAAATACGTGACCATCAAACTCAAAAAGGCAGTTGAGAGAATTAGAGTGGAAAACGTAAACACGATGAATAAGATTCTACCGGTTGAGGAGCCCACCAACAACCTGGACTGGCCCACACAGATGATGTAAGAGAAAATGGCGAAGATAGTCGAGACGTTACCCGCGAGTTGTGGTTCACCGGTCGAGGATTCAGCTGAAAGACAGACGCGCCTGTAGATCTCGTGCACGAATAGTCCAGGCGCCTGGTAGCTAAAAATGAGGCTACCTGGAATTTTGGGTACACAGCGATTTTTTTGGCTCACTTTATGTTTGTTGGGTCGCTGAATCCGAATCTGAAGTTTCCGCACGCGTATCTGGTGAGCATTTTCCGCTATTTTGAAAAAATGGCCTAAAAAGGCCTTTTTCTGCGGTTTTTTTGATATAGCGGCTACGGATGAGGAAAAGTCCCGGATTTAGCTAATGTTTTGAATAGCTGACAAAATTTGGAAGAAAATGGTGTATGAATATGCTAGGTTTGCTCAAAAATTGAGGAACCTCGGACTTCGGAACTTTAGAACGCTTCGGAACTTGGCTGACCGCGGCGAGCCGGATCGCGCGTTGACGGGTGCGCCGCGAAAACGTGAATAGGCGCGATGTTGACGATGCTGTATCTTCCTCAATTTTTAAGCAAACCTAACATATGTATACACCATTTTCTTCCAAATTATGTCAGCTATTCAAAACATTAGCTAAATCCGGGACTTTTCCTCATCCGTAGCCGCTATATCAAAAAAACCGCAAAAAAAGGCCTTTTTAGGCCATTTTTTCAAAATAGCGGAAAATGCTCACCAGATACGCGTGCGGAAACTTCAGATTCGGATTCAGCGACCCAAAAAACATAAAGTAGGCAAAAAAAATCGCTGTGTACCCAAAATTCCAGGTAGACTTACCAGGCGCCTGGACTAGAAGCCCAAAAGAACGAAAGAGCCGATGATCAAGAGCCAAACCAATTTTGAAAAACACTTGGCGGGAGTCAGGAAAGATGGCATGAAACCCTTATCAGGCACCATGAATGTAATTTCCCCTTGGTCGAGTAACGATATGACATCCAGGTGGCGAAAATCTGTGTCCTCCAAACTACTTTCGAAAATTAATACGTCTGCACCTTGCTTAAGAGCGTAACTGTAGTCTTCTGGAAAAAAGAGCGCGTTTGGTGTCCGGTGAAGATCGATTCTCAATTCAAAGCTTCCTCCCATATGTTCGACGATCATACGCATCACAGATAACACGGCATCATCCCAGTACTTCAAACGGAACACTCCGTCGGATATATCGTTGTTAACGCCGAGACTTAGGAAAAGAGTTTGTCCCGCCAGAGTTGGTGGGGGGATATTAAAGTCGCTTCTCGAAGGGAACGCGGTCAAAACGGCTTTAGATGGATCGTACCTGGTGCACGCCTCCTCGATACAAATGACGGCTCTGAAAGCGCGGAAGAGACGCCACATCAATTTGAAAATGAAGATGAGGTCGCAGTTGATAGAGGCACCGGCGTGACGCACCGATCCTTTTTGGAAATTAGATTCCTCTTCATTCTGCACTGCGAAAATTAGGTAATTTTCAGCATTCCATATTGGATGATAGAATAATCCCTGCGTTTGCGCGAAAAGGGAATCTGACATTTCGGAGCCAGGTCGGAGATCGTTTTCTGTGATGTTGACGATGAAATCGCACGTTTTTTTCTGGTCTCCAATACGCCGGGTTTTATCTGCCTCGGAATAATCAATGCAGTAATTTGGCGCTTCGTTGTATCCTCCATTCTTGGAGCTCCCATTTTTAAGGATAAACCCTCCGTTCAGCTCGACTAAGTCATGACAACGAACTTTGCTCTCTTCAGCAGAGTTCATAATAAGATTCAGGATATCACTGCATGAAGGTATAATGAATAGGATAATCTTTGACTGTTTCTGGGATCGGCAAAGGGCCTCGTGACCGGTGATTGTTGAAATAGATTCACTGTGAAAAGAGCGAATTAACGGAGACACAGCGTAATTCGGATTTTGGTTGGATATATAAACCGAAGAAGTTTCGGATATTTTGTGCGTTTGTTGGATCAGGTTCAAGAGAAAATGCTGAGAGTCTGAACCAAGTGTAGAGGAAGATGCAAAGCTTGACATACATTTGTTACAAAAAGAGGATTGCAACACAAGGCTAGACAACAGGAGAATTGGCGACAACAAATCATAAGACTGTAAATAGAAATGCTCTTTGAAGATCATTTTAACTAAAGCTGTGGAACAAGTATAAAGGATACATAAGCCACTCTGGTTAGCTTGGCTCAAATATATCAGCAGATATGCAATTAATATGCCGATATCTATAGCACTAGAGGTTCCCCTTCAGTTTTATCGCATATGCAACAAACATAACGAGGAGTATAACGAAAAATTATATATTCGAAAATTACATATTTGTATCGCTCTATAACCCTTGATTAAACCGATAAACGATGTTGTTAACCAATTGGTATGTATCGCTTACTTAAAGTTCACCTTCAATTTTGCTGCAAAGGCAACATACACCGGAAATCGCAAATTGGTATCTATTCGAAGAATTATAGCTCTCTTCATCCATTAACTTTTTTGCAAGAACCAATGAACAATGCGTAAACGTAGCTCTCGTAGCTATCGTTCACGTCAGGTCCGCCTTCAATTTTGTCGCATAGGCAACAAACGCACCGGAGAACACGAATAGTTGTCTACTCGAAAAACACACACTTATGTCGCTCCATTAGATTTAATTGCCTTTTATTGTTGTGCATCACTTATCCTTTCTTCTGGCATTATCTGTCTTTCTTGCAGTCCCATTTTAATTTTATGGGATGTATCATATCTTTGAAACTAGCAAAATAAAAACCCAGGTAACGCACCAGGTAAAAAAAAAATCCAGCACTGAGCGCTTAGATAGTAAATTGCTGTGACTTGGTGTAGCACAAATAATGCACTAGAGCATTAGATTATCAATACCTGAGGTGGTTCTCTTTTTTTCATTGAAAGCAGTTTAAGAAAACACACAGAGTGCAGTTATAACCATGTTACAAATTGTAGGAAAATTCAATTACAAGTATAAAACCTCTATTTTTTAATAGGAGCTCCTTCTCAGTTTTGAGCTTCCTAGTCTTGTACGTTCTTTTGAGTGGACATATCTCTGTCTATAATGATGAGACTTGAAAAGGAACAAAAGCAAAAACTTACGTTTCCGACAAAGCAAGAGCTGAGAAACTAACTGAGTAACTGCATGTCTAACCACATTTCACGCGAAAAATGCACCTGACAAACAGTATTTTTTACACCTTTTGAGAATCGATTTTTAATCGTTGGAGGAAACTCTTGTGAAAACAAAATCTTGTTTACCGCAAATGTAAATACCTGAAGTATATTCCCATGTGTTCATTTCGGAGTAAATAAAATGTTTTCTTTTTACGTATTTTTAAAAAAGAGTCACGAGGAGAGAACTAACTCACACTGAGCTCATTCTAAATTCTACTCCTCTGCACAACTACACGACGGTATTGATTTCAACTCAATGTTGACGGTGTTGAATTGGAGTTTTCACTTATCATTTTTCAATACGAAAGGAAATTTGATGTAGATTCATTTGAAACTGCTTCAAACTAGATTATTGAATGAAAAGGTAAATAAATGTGTCCGGGGGATTTCCCTCCTGCCAAGAGGGTTCTCCGCGGGAAAAATTTCGAATATCACACTGAAAAAAAAATCTCGGTGTATTTACTAAGGAAAGGGTAAAATTACCAAGAATTCAAGGTTCTATTTGATCCCAGTTTTTCTTGGTAAAATTACCACTTATGGAATGGAATCCACTCATGGAACCGAGAAATCTCGGTAAAATTACTGAACTTTCTCGGTAATTTTACTGGACCTTGATAAAAAAGCCAATATTTTTTATCGATTGTGGTAGAATTACCGAGATAAAATGGCAAAGTTACCAGGAATTGATTACCAATAAAAGTGGTATTCTTACCTGAAAAAAACAGTAAAAAGATCGGTTTTTAGGTTAGCTTACCAGTCTGTTTTGGTAAAATTACCAATAATTGGTAAAACAAAGTGAGATGGTAAAGGTACCAACGGACCTTGGTAAAAACACCGAGAATTTTTTTTCAGTGCAGGTACTCCTAGAACGCAACTGTTTGTTTATTTCACCGTAATTTTTCCCCCCTCCTCGGAAATTTGAGTATGGCCTTTAGCACTCGGCCCATACCCACGCCACCACTGCATGATCAAGAAAGTGTCCGCGAATGGGTCAGTTGCGCTAGTCACAGAATCGTATTTTGACACTTGATTCTTGTAGATACGCTATTAATATTAAGATCTGTCCTAACTGCAACTTTCTACGTTCAATATTAACCGAGATATCGAGCTTTCAAAAATTCAGGTTTTGACATCATATCCACCGCGGTAGCGACACCCTTGGTTTCTTCCACCTTGGAGTCATTAATCAGTAATACATACAATATCCACTGGTTGCTCGACTCAAAACAAGGATGTCACTACTGCAGTGGATGACGTCATAACCAATATTTTTTAAAGGGCGATAACTCGTTTAATATTGAAAGCGGAGAATTGCAGTTTGGACAGACGTTATTATTTTTAGCTAATCCACAAGAATAAAGCATCAAAACAAGATTCTGTGACCAGCGCAACTGACTCATTCCATATAACGGCCTTTCTGAGTCTCCCTGATGCCAAATAAATATGCCTTGATATTTCCCGCCGGAAATCCCAGTTTTTCAGATTTTAAGACGTCCTGGAGGCCGTAAGGACGTACCTCGATTTTCGTATGAGCCCCTGAAAGCATGCATTTACATGTAAAAAAAGACTTACGTGGGAATGGAGATGTTGAATGGGTGAGGAATTTGCGATTTGACTGTTGTTTCTTATGTAAAAGTTCGCGAGAAACACGATGGTGCCACTGGTTTTCTCTGAAATCATCTCCTAAGCTCAAAAAAAGCTCTCAAGTTGAGGCCAAAATGGAGGGGATATTCCACCCTACCCTGGCAGTCCACCTCTACATCAAAACAATCTCTCCATGCAAAGATAGGGAGCAAATACATTGACAGGGTTGCCGTGTTTTCAGTTTTGGAGTCCCCAAATAAAGTGGCAGCCCTGTCAATGTATTTGCTCCCTATCTTTGCATGGAGAGTTTGTTTTGATGTAGAGGTGGACTCTTAGGGTAGGGTGGGATATCCCCTCCATTTTGGCCTCAACTTGAGAGCTTTTTTTGAGCTTGGGAGACGATCTCAGAGAAAACCAGTGGCACCATCGTGTTTCTCGCGAACTTTTACATAAGAATCAACGGTCAAATAGCAAATCCCTCACACATGCAACATCTCCATTTCAATAATCAGCCTGCTGTTCGGGTAGGTTCGCTTGTGTTGAGGTCCAGTTACACGATCAAATTGAGCCATCAAATTGGGCCTCTCATTGGTCGCATCCTCAGCTCAGGTCTTTTTCCACCAATCAGAGCTTCAATTTGATGGCTCAAATTGATCGTGTAACTGGACCATTGACTTTTGCTAGTGCAAACGTCAAAATGATCTGTTTCGTGTTGCAGGGATCGGGCCGAAGGAGCACCTGGAGGAGCTCGGGATCAAGGTGGTGCGGAACCTGCGGGTGGGCTACAACCTGCAGGACCACGTCGGGCTGGGCGGGCTCACGTTCATCATCGACGACCCGATCACGTTCAAGAAGTCCCGCTTCCAGACGGCGTCGGTCGCCCTCGAGTACATCCTCAACGAGCGCGGGCCGCTCACCTCCCTCGGCGGCGTCGAGGGCCTCGCCTTCGTCAACTCCAAGTACGCCCACCCTGACGGCCTCTGGCCCGACGTCCAGTTCCACTTCGCCCCCAGCAGCGTCAACTCCGACGGCGGCGAGGTACAAATTCAAATACCTTCAGGGGTCCTGCAGAATTTTGGGGGGGATTGAGGAGGGAATTTAGGGGGAATTATCCTGCAGGGGTTGCCACAGACTTTTGAAAATGAAATTCTCTAATTTCCCTGACAATTGGACGTATTTCTATGAAACGGAACTAAGCGCAATAGGGGGAGGAAGGGAGAGGGGGCTTGGATTGGCGGATGTTGCGGAACGCGATGCTCGTTCCGTCCTATACTCAGAGAGCTTTTCCATGGCGCGTAGTTCCGTTTAACAAAGATACGTCCAATTGAAGATAAGCTAGGTGGTGAAAGGCATAATTAGAAATAGTTTTCAAGCAAAATTTGTCGTTCGAAACGTGAAACCTATTCTAAAAAGCAAAAAGAAGTGACCTGATAATTTTCCCGGGCATTTCCCGATTTCGCTGACTGTACACTGGAAAAAAACCACATTGGATCTAGAGTCCAGACTCTTGAAAACATTGACAAGAAAGATACTCTTGATTCAATCGGATTTTAGCTTAAATCAAAAGGAAATCCGCTCAAATTAAGAGGCTTGGTTCTTGATTTAAGCAAAAATCCGATTGAATCAAGAGTATATTTTCTTGTCGATGTTTTTAAAAATCTGGACTCTAAATCCAATGTGTTTTTCCTGCAGTGTAGCAACCCTGTCCTGCATAATAAACATTACGCCAAACCCAGGTAGCAGTGATAGCGATAAGTTCGTCATTCCCCTCACGAAAGAACGTAACTACATTTCAATATTGCAAAATTTCCCCTCGCAAATTGCACTTTCACCGGGAGAGGCTTGGGCATCATTCATTGAAAATTTTACTGGTTTTCCCTCTGTTCTCTCATGAAAAAATCAGACAAATTTTGGACCAAAATTGCTCAGGTATGCTCTTGTAGAAATTGAATGTTCCCTCGAAAAACCAACGCGAATTAAAATTTGTCTGCAAAAATTCAGAATGGAATGCCAATTAGAGGGGAGCCATAAAATTGACCAGTGAGTAATTTTTATGAGGGACGGATGCAAAAATGTGGTGCGGGTGCGTTACGGAGGGTGGTGAGGGGCAGACAATATTTTTTAGCGTTACGTTTTTTATGAACGCACTCGTCTTACGCAAATTGAACATACTGAAAGGAACTATTAAGCACAATAGTTCAACATAAACATAAGTGTCTTCTGATTTAATGTGTCTTCTGATGAAAAAAATTTAAGCACGTTGCATGTTATTCTTCACTCCTTTTTCATTCCCTGATATTTCCCGAATTTTTTCTGATTCCTGGTGAAAAATTCCCTCGTGAAAACCCGAAGTTTCCTCTCTTACTAGTACGAATTCTTGCAAAAGCTTGGTTTTTTTAGGTTAAAAAGTATGGCTCAGTTCAAAATGTTTCCAATTCTTTCACACAGAGTTAAGGTGATTCGATGGACGCCATATTTTGTGTCAGAACGGCATGCGATATATCGCATCAATTGGTTCCATTTTTTGAGCTACTCGTCATTTTTCTCCAATTTTGAGATCGCAATTCTGTTGTCAGGAGGCTAAAGCACTCACTTACCAATTTTAACAAAGAAACTCAACGTAATAAAGGCGTGGTTTTTTCAGAGAGAAAACATCGCATTCGATACTGATATCGAAACTGCACTCGAATGCGATATTTTCTCTCT